CATTTCTGCTACTAATCTATTGTTAAATTTTGTTCGAAGAATTTATCAGCAAAACACGAGGATGCAATTGATGCCACCCTGCCGTAATATTCTATTGATAATCTCTCAATAGATTGCTAGCATTTTGTTTAATCGAATTTTATATATATATATATATATATATATATATATATATATATATTTCTATTTACTAATAACTTTTTAATAAATAACACAAATGACAACTAAAATCTTTCAAATGTTATTCTGGATTATGATCGTGACAACATTTCTTAAGATCAAAATTATTGAGCATCCTTAATCAATATATTTATATTTTTTATTCTTCTAATCAAATATTTTTCATATGATTTATGTAAAAATTTATGTACAGATTAAATTTTTCTTACTAAGAAGATAAATATATAGCTACAGATGCAAATAATTTTTTTTCTAATAAAAAGAAAACATGCTTTTTAATTAAAAAAAAAATAAATTTTGTTCTCTCAGTACTTTTTTTAATATTTAATATAATTATTTATTAGTATATTATTTTTCCTTATATCTTTCTGTTAATATAATAAAAAAAACAAAGTTTTTGTTAAATAAAATTGAAATTGGCTCAAATAATGATAATTAAAAATTTAATCAAAATTGACAAATTATAGCCACAACGCGATAATTGAACCGCAAGAAAGAAAACAACACTTCCTTCTTTCTAATCATTTATATATTTCAAATTGAATACTATAACAATAACAAAAACGCTAAAAAGCTAAAGCTCTTGTATTTTTAATTTACATTTTTAATTTACAATTTATTAAAAAGTAATTTTCATAAATTAATGAAACTCTTGCAATAAATCATTAAATACGATATGATTCACAGAATTTTCAGTTATATACATTACGAAAAGTTTTATTATATCTCTAATTATAAATTATCTGACTTATATCGTTTTGATATCATTTTAAAATTCTTATATTCTTATAATTAAAAATTAAAATTTTTATATTCTTATAATTAATTCAAAAATAATAAAATTATTTTTAAAATAAATAAAAAATAAGAAGTGGGCAAGCGAAAGACTCGGGTTCGATTCCTGATTCAGCGATTTCGTCCCGATATTTTTCTCGTCTACATCTCTTCAGGGGGGTAAAGAGGGTTTATAGAATTCTCAAAAATGAGAATCTATATCTTGGTAAATGCACCAAGTAAAACATATGCAAATGCTTCGTTTAAATTTTCGCGAAAAATTTACGCATTACCATCCGCGGTGGCTCTTATTCACTAGTTTCTTATCGTGTTGTTTAAGTACATATAGAGCCTAATTCCTTTCAATTTATTTAAAAAATAAGAACTTTAATTTTTATTAAAATAAATTATTAAAATAAATTTAATTAAATTATATTTTAAAAAATTACAAATTATGAAAATCACAAACTTATATCTATAATAAATTCATTCAAATTCTCTTGATTTGTTTTTAAAGAATTTATCTAGTTAAAAATAGGAATTACATAATTATATGTATAGCTAATTAGAATGTAGATTTAAAATAATGGTTAGTTAAAAATAGGAATTACATAATAATGATTTATAAATAACAATAATTGATTTATTAATTAAGGAATTATATAAAATTAATAGTGATTTAAAATAATCGTTAGTTAAAAATAGGAATTACATAATTATATAGTTAATTAGAATGATTTAAAATAATGGTTAATTTAAATCTATTATCAAAAATTAAAAAATAATAAAAAATCAACTTTCAATAATCAATTAAATATCCGAAAAAACAAAATTTAAAAAAAGAGGCTTGCTTCTTTATAAAAAAAATAATATTTTATGAAAAAAAAAACTTTTTTGCATCTTTACATACATATATCATTACACACGCTCATTTACTCATGCACACACACATATACATTCGTGCACATGCGCGCACGTGAATTCGCCTTACATTATAACGATTGACTATTTTGCTCTGACTAATGTTTCTTTCGCGCAGGTCTTCATGCTTAAAGTAATTCTGGCTTTTCGTGTCGTGCTGCCGCGCTGTCATGCGAAAGCATGCGATACTTTAGCAAGAAAATCTCTGTCACCAGGGTCACACGGAGGATCTCGACGTGGTAGTCGTACCAGCAGTGGGAACGCTTCGGCCGTTTCGATAAAATCTAACAAATCACCGAATCATACAAACAACATCACTGACCCTGTTCTGGAAAACGTCACCATCGAAATCCTCGACGTAAAACATAAATAAATCGTCTTTCCGCCACAACAAATGGTTCGATTGGCAATCTCGTTTATCACTAGTCTTGCATAGCCAACACACAGCGCTATATGAAAGTCGCTATCTCTATATATTTTCAATCTATGAATAATTTACTCTATCTCACTTCTATCTCAGTCTCTTTTTTGTTAAATAATTGAACATAAGTTTTATTTATTATTTCACTAGTTCAAATATCAAGAAATACTTTGTTTAAATCAATTGTAAAACTGATGATTCGAA